GTTCTCTTGCCTCTCCATCCCATTACTTCATTCACTTATCTACATTGATGAGCAGTCATCTGTTGAAGTGGGCTTTACCCACAAAAGCTCACGATGTGTGTGTTAGGCTCTTTTTTTAGAAGGAAAGCAAAGTCCTTTTGGGACCCCAATTTTTCAGTAGTGATATCTGTCCCACTCCAAAAACATCTCCATATTCTAGTGACCCTGCCTCAGGAAAAGAAGGCTGTTTGTTTGCAGTAGGGATGTAAAAGGTTAACCAGTAAGCCTCACTTTTAGCAAGTAGCCCACTGAGGCAGCCCCTGTCCATGGCAGCCCAGCCAGGTTCCCTGCCCGCAGGTTATAAGATGGAACTCTGCTACTGAATGGCATAGACTAAGAAAAATACTAAAAAAGAGTGGACATTAAATTGCTAATAGTAAATACTGAAGTATTAAAAGTTAGGGATGCAAAAATCCCATTTAATCATTTAACCACTGAAGGTTATGTTTAACCAGTGAACTGCTTAAATGGAGGCTGCTCCAGCTGGGCTAGATTGCCTCCCCTCCGCCTGTCTGCAGCACGCACCATAGGCTGGGCTGCTGCAAGCGTCCCCTGCCCACAATGGGCTGTTCTGGCCTCGCCGACACACCATTGGCCCAGAAAGACTAGAGCAGCCCTCTGCCCACAGCAGGTGGGGGGGCTGCTCCAGTCTGGCCCTGCTCCCGGTTAACCATAACTGGTAAGCATGACCCGGTACGGGTGAAGCTTACTGGTTAACCATTCACATCTCTGATAAAAATGCCAGGCTTCAGGGATCAAACTATTTTCTAAGTATTAGGGAGTCAGTGACAGTTTTAATAGGGAGCAGATTATCTTGCAACTCCCTATTGCAAGCTTTCTTGCACCTTCCTCTGAATTGTGTGGTTCCGGCCTCCGTCACAGAACAAACGTTGGATCAGATGGACCATGTGTTTTATCCAGTGTGAGAATTACTATGTTCCTATAATCCAAGCATCTTGCACACTACAAAACAAAAGCTAATACCCCAGCAGAAAGGCTGGCATATCTGCCATGCCCATTCTGGTGCCATTTTAAAGGCAGTGGTGCAGAAAATTCAGACTCAAAAGGTTTGACACCGGAATGGACCATTATGATAATTTATTCCGTCCAGCATGACACCAGCCATAACATTTCACGTATTAATTTCTCAAACCCAAAAACCTGTATTTGAATTTGGAAGAAGATGTCTTGTTAAATGTCCTATTTTGACTGCATTCAGTCAAGTGATAGAGAATCCATCACATTCTTTGTTAAATTGTTCCCAAAGTTAGCTGCTTCTCCACACAAAAGTTTGCACTTATTTCCAGTTGAATTTGACTAGCTTCAACTTCCAGTCCCTACTGCTTATTGGGTCTTCTGATGTGTCTGTACAGGCAAACATGAGACTTTATTCCAGAATAAGTATCCTGGTTCCAAAGGTACTTAAATACCAGGTTCAATTCACCTTGTAACCGCCTCTTAAAGTTAAATACATTGAACTAATTTACTCTTGCTGAATTTCAGGTTTTCCAGAATAGCAAAGAGACTAATTTTTGGACTGTCTCGAAATTTTTCCATATTCTTTTTGGAGTGTGGCCAATAGAATGGAACACATTCTAATAATGGTTACAGTGATCCTCCACTCAAAAGTAGTATCTTACAGCTCAATATTTCCATTTATACATCCAAGGATCACATTACTCCTTTTAGCAACAGCGCTGCATTGGGAACTTGTGTCCAGCATGACTCCTAAATTCAGAAGCACTGCTTTTGGATACAGTCCTCCAGCCGGTAAGTATAACCACTTTTCTTTGATCCTATATCTATGATATTGTGTGACTGGATTAAAAACACAGTTTGACACTTGTATTTTCATGTATCAGATTTCAAGCCATTCTAGAAGGCATAACACATCTGCTTATTCTCCACAAATGAAAGGAGAAAATCAGGGTAATTTTGCTTAGCATCCACTTGTAACATCTCAGAGAGGTTACCGGTTTAAATACTTAAATTACGCAATTCAAATATTTCCTTTTCAGACTCGGTCATTTGGAGGTTTGAAATTAAACAAAGGAAATCTCACCCCCCCCCCTTCAAGAATCTCTCATTAAAACGAGGAATTTAAAGGTCTTTCCCCCACACCCCCAAGTCTCTACTATGCCAAATGTTTTCAAGAGCCTCGTGCGATCGCTCCACGACCAGGCAGCGCTGGAGCGTCAGCTGCCTCCG